CAGCTTATCAAGCTCTTCATACTCACGCATTTCGACCTCTTTCTTTTTCAGTCTGCAAATGTGTGTCGCTTCCCTCTTCAACTCTCGGTATCTATCCCGTCCCCAACCTGTTTTCTCTCTACTGCTACACGGCACTCCTCGTCGTACCAGCTGTTCTTTTTCAATTTCCGCAAACCAATGGTTTCGGTTACAGCTGTATGTAAGGAGCTTGAAATGCCGTCCCCCAGTTCCCTTATACCGAGTTTTTGACGAGTGCTCTCAGAGAGCAGGAGTGTAAGTCGAGTAGAAAATCGTTCGGCTATCTATTTTGATTCCAACTTGTCGACGGCGACCTTCCTTGTGTTTATTGGCGTGCGTTTTTTGCTGCACAGAGGCAGGTGCGAATCTTGGCTGCACCAAAATAATGGTCCGAGTCGATGTTAGTACCTCGGAGCGCACGCACATCTAAAACACTAGAGACGTATCTTCCGTCTATCACAACATGATCGATCTGGTTGGTGGTTATTCGATCCGGAGACAGCCAGGAAGCTTGGTGAATCTTCTTATTCTGTAATCTAGTACTACAGATAACCATATTTCGGGCTCCGGCGAAGTAAATCAGCCTCAGCCCATTTGGGGATGTTTCCTCGTGCATCTTTGGTCACATCGTCCTCTTCTTCCGTCGGGGCGAGGTTGCAAATCAGCGATATGTTGAAGAACCTCGCTTTGATGCGGATTGTGGCTAAACGTTCATTCTCTGGAGTGAATTATAGTCCTCGGCGGGGGAATCTCTCTCCCACCACGAATCTGACACCAATCTTGCGCTCCTCTATATGGCCACTGTAATAAATGCCACAAGGACCTACTCGTCCCAGTCCTTGTCCCGTCCATCGCATTTCTTGGACGGCGGTGATATCAGCGTTCACTCTAACAAGGACATCAACCAGATGGGCAGCGGTACCTTCCCAACTAAGAGACTGGATATTCCAGGTGCAGGTTGAAGTGCCCTCAAATCATAGTCCTTAATTCATTTGCCATGGCCATCATCAAAAGGGGGTCACTCATCCGAGTTATTGTTTTCTTTCATTGGGTGTTTTTTTTTTACGTGGCGGGATGTTTCGTCTTCTCACTTTAGCTCGCCTTCAAACGGATGTTCTTAAGCTACCCAGAGGATACTTGGTCAAAGGCCGGAAGTCGTTCGCTGCTTGAGCTAAGAATCGTTTCTGGCCACTCCCAAGTGAATGGCGTTCAGAGAACTTTCCTCACTTGCGTGAACTTCTACTCATGACTCCATCCTGCTATTGTTGTTTACTGATCATAAAATTACTAAGACAGAAAAACGGTTTTAATTTACTGACTATATTCAATATACATGAATGAGGCTGTGACAGAATTCTCGCATCGGTTCTATACTTATATATCCTAAATATTTCAGATTTTGTAGAAAAAATACGATTTCAAATTAGCCAACGATTTGAAAATAAGAGGACCTTTTCGATCAACCAGTTGTTGTAGAAAAGTACTAAGGTTATAAATATTAATTGAATAAATGCAAAAAAGTCCGTTAAGTAGAGAACAAATCACCGACGATAATGCCGACGACAACTTATGATAAACACAATTAGCAATCAAAACATTCACATAGGCCTATAACTTGCAAAACAAAAACAGTTTCTCAGGGATATCTACTAATATCCGTTCATTTAATGGGTCTAAAAATTTAGCTCATGCTTTGCACAAGTATATTTACTATGGGTCTGGCACTACATTGGACCCATAATAATGTACGAAACCATGGGTGTCGCAGCGCTGATTCCTGTAGATATCCCCGCGAATAAGTGTATATCTACTAAGAACCATCCATCTACTGAATCTTGATACTCCTTGTAATCATCCGAAGATGAAGCCCGAATGAGCGTTAATACCGCGAACCTTGAATTGCAAAGTCGAATCACTCAGAATAGAACTAAGCTCTGCAGCAGTATACGAAGTATAATGGATGGACTTGACTAGGCTTGTGTTTCAAGTAATTATACTTTAAAGTCTATAGTCCGCTTGACTCACCAACAACAACTTCTGACATCCTTTTTCCTTCTACAATATATGCTTATTTTGAATGTCTTGAAGAATCTGATCAAACTTTTAAACATTTACCAGAAGTAACTGTTTCAAGTCAAAAGTTAAGAAAAGCGTAAATATTTGATTAAATATTATTAAAATTTCGAATGTCGTTCGAATGTAAATTCGTCTATAATTTGTCCATTGTGCTTTAATCACATGAGCGAAGGTAATTCGAGCGAAGGTAATTCGAAAAGTTTTCACGCACAATTCCTATTAAAACCAATAAATTTCCGCCTCTAAAATTGTTTTAATTTAGTAATTATTGCCATAGAACGGTACATATTGTGCCATAAGGGATGCAACCCTTTGATCAAAATAACAAAGTGAAAGTGATTCAAGCAACCCTGCAGGAGTTTTTTGTGTCGATTTTAAAAGTGGAAGAAAAAAAGTGAGAATTGTAAAGAAGTGCTTCAATCCTCCCGTTGCATATTTCGAGACGAGGTCCTTAGACCTTTTATCTTCATTCTCTAATATTATATTTCTATTCAAAAAACGGTAAAGGGCAGTGGGAACGCCTCAGTACTCGCCATAACCTTTTTGAAACTATCTTTGTTAAGTTCAAATATTTCTATAAATATGAAACATCTACGGCATCAATGGCGAACATGAATTGGGAAGTCGTTACACAATTATATTTTATTTGTACATATAAAAAACATACTTCGGAGAGAGCATTCCTGCTGGGCAAATGAGCAATGCCTGGTGCTTACAAACCTATAAAAAGGGCACACGAACTATTTTCTTTTTATTGACAAAAAATCGTGATTCAAATGTCATCGAATGAAGAAAAGCAAAAACATGATATTTCCGCAACGGTGCACCAAGGATGTGCGACGTGCAGAATGCAACGACGTGATATGTTCAGATGTATTCGTTGGCATTTATGGTTCTCTGCCATGTATCGCCTACCACTAGAACGTTATTTTCCTGCTCGCCTGCGGTTTCTCGCCGTTACTGTGGATTGGACTTACGAACTTTTCTTATATTTAACATTGCTACATATCGACATACTCTTTATCTGCACCATATATCTGAATCAGGATAAAGGTGATCTGGAACTGATAGTGAATTGTATGATCCAGACGGTCATTTATACGTGGGCAATATGCGCAAAGGTCTTCTTTAAACGCATCCAACCCAAACGTGTAAAAGAGTTAATGTGCTATTTGAACGAGGAATGTCGAACGCGTTCAGCTGCTGGATTCACCTACGTTACATTTAAGGAGAGCGTCGATTTGTCGAACATGTGGACTACGGTATTTCTGATTTGCTGTTATGCTGGCGTTACTTTCTGGCTTTTCGTACCCATCTTTAATCAAGATAGCAGCTTGCCACTGGCCTGTTGGTACCCCATCGATTATAAGGTAGGTCTAGGTTGTGGTAATTGTCTGAAGACAACTCTTGATTCATATTTTCATTCGTTGAATTTTTATTTAGGTACCGGTAGTTTATGAGTTCATTTACTTTCTACAAACAGTGGGTCAGCTTCAAATTGCTGCTGCCTTTGGTTGTACGAGTGCTTTCTATGTGCTGATAGCGGTGATCTTCTCTGGTCAATTCGATATACTTAACTGCAGTCTGAAGAATATTTTAGCTACCACATACATAATTCTAAGAAAACCGAAACCGGAACTCGTGTAAGTTTATATTACGGTGTACAGGCAAATTGCTGCATAACCATTTGGCAGTGAAAGCATAATAACTGCCGTGAAAAGTCGTGCGAAAGGTGGCTTGTTAAACCTGGGAAACCCAACAGCCTAGGGGAGTCTTATCATCCCATAAATCATCTTCTGTGTCTAGGAGGTTATCAAGAACCTACCAAAAACCCTATGATTTTAGGTGTAACAATCGACAGCATGTATTCTTACACTCTCCAAACGACGGTGACTATTGCCAAAGTACTCGGACACAACAAAACCCCCAACACAAGGGAAAAAGACAAAGAAATTTCATTAACAACAGAACACCAGTATGGTCGCACGGATGTCTCCCGATGAAGACCTGCATAACTAAAAGTTTCGGTTGGGATGCCGCCTCGACATCGAACAATACGGACACAACTAGCTGTAGAAACGCACAAAACGCCATTAACAGTGAAACTATTAACACCTTCACCGACTCGCTTAACTCCAACTACCATCCATTGCAGACGAAGAGTTCGAGTTTACTTGTGAATCTAGAGTCACCCTTTCGTAATATCGTTCTGGATATTGAAGTACGTTAAACGCTTACCTATCCAGAATCAACTCAGAAGTACCAAATATACGTAATGAGTTCCAGCATGGCTTTAACCACCTCTTTTCAATTACACTCAACTCACACCCTACTCCCTATACCACAACCCATCGAAAACGCAAGTTTACAGAACCCCTCAAATAACTTAAGCCTTTCCACACATATAGGGTCTAGAATAATCAATGTGAAGTGGAGGCATGATAAGAATTTAGTGTTAACAGTTATGGCGTCTGGCTTCTATCTTAATTCCCATCCGATACCAGTTATTAGCCCTAACGAACGAAATATCAAACTTCAAATTGCAAAAGCTTGCTATTAAACCTCTCTCGTTCGCGGTTTAAAGTTATTTCATTTGGGGACGAAAGTTTCTCATAAATATATGAGTATGAGTGCGAAACGTTCGTTCGTGACCCTATTTTTAGAAATGGTTACGTCAAAGTAAAAGGTGAAAAGCACAATTTACTAAATGTATGTCTATCATTTTAAGTAAGATGTCTTCCTTACAACTTTCTCTACGTTTTTATGTCTCATATCTATAGTTTACTGAGAGAAGAGCAAAGCATCGCCGACTACGAGCTTAATCAATATTACGTCGCCAAGGAATACCGCACCGACTTCGACTGCATGCCACATTTTTTGGACAAGGAAACACCGAAACCCGAAAATTTCTACGAAGGTTTCAAAATCGCTCTTAGACCTTGTATTGCTCATCATCGTTATATATTGTACGGCCTAAAAATGTTGGAGGACCTCTACAGTTATCTGTCGTTTCTAAAATATCTTGAAGTGACACTGCTAGTTTGCCTAGTGGCATTTGTTTGGGTTAAGGTAGGTGTACAAATGTAAAATGATATTAGAATTGTATAATATTGTATCAAAACTTTAAGTCCACAGCCGCCAACTCGTTCCTGCGTCTGCTCTCGCTTAGTCAGTATTTGCTTTTGGCGCTCTGGGAAATGTTTATGATCTGTTATATGGGGGAAATTATATTTTTGTATAGCAAACGTTGTGATGAATCCCTTCAGCGTAGCCCCTGGCACTTGCATTCTGGTGAAATAAAACAGGATGCTTTATTCTTTATACTCAACGCTCAGCGCCCTTTCCGCTTGACCGGTGGCAAGATGTACAACTTAAATTTGAAGATGTTTCGTACTGTAATGGACCTTTATATCGTATTTTTATTTGAATATTGTAATTGTTTTTGTTGTTTTGTTTTTTCAGATTTTAACCACATCTTTCTCGATTTTAACCATATTGCAAAATATGGACCTAAGACAACCGCAGCCAAAATAATTTTTAAGTTTCCATTATTGGAACATTTTTAAATAAATGAATGAATTAGAAAGTTTTAAAATGTTCGTTTGATCGTATAATTGTTCCTGCATAAATGCTTTCTTTGCTAAAACCAACTAAATAAAAGCCTCCTAGAAGTTTTCTTGTTTTAACCAGAAAATAGAGTCAAGCGCGAATATTTAGACGATCCGGCAACAAGGGTTATGCGAGTCTGCTGGTTGATCTCATTCATATCAACATTCCACTTTATAATTCAATCTTGATGATAATACATCAACTAAATAGGTCTTACAACTTCCGATTTTGGTAGTAGCACCTGTTCTTTACTTAAAATAGCACTCAGGATCGACGATAGCCTCTTCATTGTTCTTTTCTGAGAACATTCTCTCATTTTTTTCTTGAGAGTAAATCATTTGTGGCCTTAGGAAACGGTGCATGTGGAAGAAATACGAAGGCCAATTCTCTCAGTGACATGTCTCAGCTGATCTTTAACGTTGTTAATATGTCACTTTTCTTGACTGACCCCATATTTGGGCATCAAAAACGCTATTTTGGATTTTTAGTTATTCTAGTAGGAACCTCCTCTTTGGGCTCTGGTCCATTGTATCGTTTCGTAATTGCAACAACCAACATTGCAATTCTTGCAAAAGTCTTATAAAAGAATGCATTTTGAAGCGCTAAAAAATAGTAAGTGACTTGAAGGATCCAGATTTCTTGAAATGATTCCAAGAAATATTGAGAATACCGCGCGTTGTGCCAACCCTAATGATTGCATATCGAACGAGAAGCGTTGCTAATTTGGATGACCAAACCATACCAAGATTTCACATATTACTCCCATGTTCATATATAATATTATAGAAGTATAAACAACACTGTGATTGTATTATTATCATTAATTTATATTATGAGTATTTCGAGGAGCCTAACTAAACCTCGACACCAAGACAGCTTTCGTAAGACAACATGAAGTACTCAAAATTAGTTAAACTATCTCCTAAAAGATCGATGTTAAATATCTTTGATATTCAGGTAATGGCTCCTTTTCTACTTTACTTTGAATATATGAAAGGCACCGATAAACTATGAAATCGCTTAATTACAACTACAACTATGGGCTACATTTAAGTTTAGCTGCTTCTACTTCATATCATACCTAGCCAGCGCAGCCCCTGTCTTCTATTTCGCTGAACTATCAATTTCCGCCGTTGCCAATGCGCGAAGTACATGAAATCTTTCGGAAAATATTTCTCTCGAACACTCCTAAGGCCGATTCGTCAAATGTCCACAGCTAAGCACCATTTGGCAAGACGCGAATGAAGAGGGACTTGTGCAGTTCGTCGATAAAGGACTTTACTTTTCAATTGAATACTGCGTTCGATTTAGAGGATGATATTGTTGTTGGTGTTAATGTTGGTTCCAAAATAGTCGAAGTTATCTACGGCTACGATGAATATTTGTTTGATGACAGGAGATATTTCGTCTTGTCCGCGTTTTCCTCGCTTTCTTATCCAGTCTGGAAAAAGCAGAACTAACGGCGCGGATGTTGGGGCCAATTATCAGCTGTACACTCTTATAGAAAATAATACCTTCTCTCTCGGTTCTTTCCGATTCTGACTAAGCTCTGGGTGTTGCTCAATCTCAACTTATAAAGCCACATTAGCTTTATGGGAATACCAAGTTCAGACATAGGACTTTCACAGGTCTTTTGCCAACATTTTGCGCATGGTGAAAATCTGATCAATAGTAGATTTTCTAGATCTAAAGCCACACGGATACGGTCCAATCAGTTTGTTGCCGGTGGACTCCAGTCTTTCATACACTATGCTCGATAATGCATTTCATGGGAAATTAAGGAGGCTTATCCGACAGTAATTGGCGTAGATTGTGGGATGGATTTGGGCAGAACACACTTAGGTTCCAATTATCGGGCATGCTTCCATCCGACCATATTTTCCAAAGAAGCTATTGCATGCATCTTGCCATTTCTTCGCTACCGCATTTGAATAGCTCGGAGGGTACTTATTAGGCTTTTAAGGGTTAGGGATGCTTTGAACATACTAGACCTTCAAGAGTATGATCCGTTCTAAAGAACCTTCCGTTAGTCGCCATATCTTATCCTAGAATTTTTAGCCTCGAAGCGTACGCATGTTAAAAATACTGAGACAGCCAAGTAGCTTAATGGATTTTCTTGTAATGGAATCTAGTACTACAGATAGCTATATTTCGGTCCCCTGCGAAGTCGATCAGCCTCAACCCATTTAAAGAGATTTCGCCATGAAGGCTGAAGTGGAGTTCTAAGTAGCAAGTCCCAAGCCCAGCGCACAACTTCGCTATTTGAGACGCTGTAATTAGACTTCAGGGAACCCTTAAACCGAATATATCGGAGTGGCTCCGCTGAATACTCCTCTCTTTCAGCGGTGACCTAGGCTCCACACGAGCTGACTATCGCATCTTACACAAGGCTTGCTCACGTTTCCAGAGTGCGTGGCGATAACGCAAGAGTAGGCATTGGGTACAGCCCTACTCCTGTAACTGTAACCCCACACTATAATCTCCAGTACCAGATAACAGGTTTATTTCTTAATTATGGCTTTATGATGCATTTTCGATTAACGAATTTTTGTGGGCATTGCTGTCCGATTCCTCCCATCTACGAACTAGTCCACACTTTCTAGATATAAGTATGTGATATGAACTTAACCAAAGCGGTTAAATTTTGATATGCTCAATAAATTATATGAGAAAAAAAAACAGCCATTGAAATAGCAATAATTATAATGGGAATAAGGGGCTTAGACCATGATCTTTTAATCGCTAAATCATATTATAAAAACACATAAGTCTTTTTAAGTCAACTAGAATGTCGCAAAACATTGACTATATATATGTTAGCAGAAGGTTTGGACGTTTGCTTGTGCCACTACTCAAGAATACCGGAAACATGTTGCCAACGTTAATTTATAATATCTACGGAAAGGGTTTATAAAAACGAATTTTACTTACCTATATTATTAAAAGTAAAGTTGAGAACAATGGAATAATTGACTTCTACAGTTAAGTATTATTAAATATTAATGCTGGCACTCAAATATAACGAAAGACAGCGCAAAACTCAGACAACTCCTTAACCCTTTAAGATGCGGTAGGGATACATATGTACATATCTATGCTATGAAATAAGTTCAATTGTGAGCAGAACGCGTTCCATATGCCGAATATGTAGGTGAGCATGTGAGTTCTATTTTTAAGATTTGCTTCAAAATATGTTGTCGAGTGTACCTGAGCAATGTCAAAAGGAATTGTAACCAACCCAAACATTTTTTGAACCGAATATACTTTATATGGCGATATCCGACTTTCTGATGTTACCGTTTAAGTTGGCCAAAATGTGTGATATTTTAATGAAATAAAGTGCACAAGATTTCTCAAAAAATATGTGGATTAACGCAAAAATATGAATGGAATTAGTCCAGGAGTTTGTCCAGATAAAAATTCGCTGAATTCCCTAACATAATGAATACCGATCTTCAGGTTTTCCATATCAATGCCTTAAGCTTTACACTCATACATAATTGAAAAAGAGCTTTTGGTCGAAGTTAGTTCGATACACGATTTTTTTTTTTAATTTTACAGTTATGAATTTGTATGAATATAACACAAGTGGTTATTAATACACCGTCATTTCTGCATAAACACTGTGCTTTTCACCACTAACCTTAAATTAAAATGTCATTAGTTGTCTTTATACAAAGAGGTGTGAATGAAGTACGCTTAATGACCTTAAGGGTTTGAAAAAATTCTACAAGAAGGTGTTTCTTAAGTGCAACAAATACTGCAATTATTGCAAAACCCTACGAAAGAACGCATTCTTAAGCTCTCCAAAATAGTAAGGTACTTGCAGGATCTGGGTTTTCGTGAAATGATTACAGCATGTAAATGGCATTAGTATACCCCGAGTTTATCAATGAAATTATGAAATTCGTAAACTAAGAATACGTGGTTCATTCGGCTGTCGGTAAGTGGTAGCAGTATGAAATTTAAATATATTTTTCATGGAAAATTATGAATGATTTTTTATCTTCGGCGCGCCAAAAGAACTTTGATATATGCAATCACAACAGTTAATGATGTGTTGAAGATATTACATTTTTCTATTTTAAATTGATTAGAAAAAAACATCAATCTGAAGACAAGAATTTCGAAGCAATTTTATAAGCTTTACGGTCTCATGCTTATATAATTAGCAATTCTTTAAGACATAAGTATGATTTTCTTCATAATTCTACATTCAAACCGGAGCATTTCATACAGGGTTCTAGTAGCTTCAAGGTTTTAATACTTCTATAATAAATTTTATTTTGCCCTAATTTTGTTCGAAAGACTTTAATTTCATAGTCATTTCTGTGGTAAAGATGTTTTAACTTTCTACAAAAACTACAGGAAGGAAGTACTTTTATTTTTCATGTACAAAACTAATTAATGCGCAATCAGCTCGTTCCACAGTATGCAGTCCCATGGTAGTCACTTATTACGTTTAAGATATACGAATTTCCTTTTATATGGATTAGCAAACTATACCAAGATCCCATATAATGGCCAACAATTGATATATTTTTTGTTCTAGAAACTGGATATTGAGACATGACTAACCACTTTCCATAAAGTATTTTCTTAAAATCAAACCGTATACAGAAAATGGAGCAGTGAGAAATTGCAGCATTGCTATTGAGTTTTTGAAGACTATCCATCTACATGAGAGTTAACTCAGCAAACAAAGAAGGAATCAATTAGTGAGTATTCAGCCTCCTGTTTATCTATTTGACAAACTGTTTTAGCATCACAGGCCTTGTGATCCAAGTTAGTACTTGAATACTAAACTAGAATACTACGGAACTACTTATTTATTTGTGAATAATGATGCTCTTTAAACCACTAACCCTAAATAAAAATGGCATTACTTGTATTAACGCCCAGAGGTGTTAATAAAGTACACTAAT